GGAAGAAGGCCTTTGACCAGTTTAAATATGATGACTACACAGTGTGTATCTGGTCCGTTTTCAATCAGCGCCACTGATTAGACTAGATTAGTCTTTGTTTTAAGTCGTAATATATTTTTTTGTTTCACGTTCCTTTCATTGCGTGGCATTTTCTGGCGAAATATTCCGTTTTATTCGCCTTTGTCCCTTGAGAGGAACGATAAACATAGGAAATTATAAATTTCCTAAATTTTAAACTAGTACTTCTCTAGTTATTTTCATAGGAACGATGACTCAAAACGTATGGCATGAGGGTATTGCACGATTTAAATTAGGAATCTCGTCTGTTTTGGTAATGAAAAAGTACATACTTGAAAACTGGGAAGATCGCTTTTGCTTTTCTACAGATAGATTTTGCGCTTACTTAAAGAGAATTTTTTCTGTAGCTGAACAACATTATATGATTCCGAGATTACCCTCAAAGAAAATTAAAATCATCTTGTTTGCCAAATTACCGGATTATTATTTCGCTTATTACAAATAACTTCTCTAATTTTTTGGAAGCTTTCCGTATTGTTATTTGCTTAGGCAGGATAGAACGTGACAATCCCAAGTGCTAAAGAATAATTGGCCATGTCACGGATGGAGATATTTGCCAGAAGATGAATGTGGCACTTCATGAATGCTCCAATTTTTTTTTGTTCAAATAGCAACAACAAGCATGGCAAGGTTGGTAAAGATAAGTCTTATAACTGATATCCCCCTTGCCGTGGTTTGATTTCAGCGTCACCTGTATGAGAAACACAAACAAACAAAAACACAAACAAACAAAAACAAAAACAAACAACAAATATGAAAATAAATGTGAAGACAAAAAAAAAAAACATAAACTAAATCATTGTACGAAAAAGTGTGCAACAGACAAACACAAGCATAGAAAAAAGTACAGGCCAGAAAACTCGGCAAGAAAAATTGTTACATGCAGATGCGCGTTTGTTTTGTTTTGCTTATTAAGTCATATATAAGAATGGTGGTGACATGAAACACTTCCAAACTGTTCCATTTTCTATACATCAGTCAACCATAACCCTTAGCCAAAGTCGCCCTATATTAGAGCTAAGATGGAGGACTAGGTAAATCGCAAAAATAATCATTAATCAAACAAATATACCCCCCCCCACCCCTCACTAAAGAACAAGAACTGACGAGCAGAATCCGGACACAAGCGGCCCAAGCTGTGGCTGTGAGATGATCGTCTTGCGAAATAAGAGTTATGGCAAAATTATAAGAGTTTGTATGGGAGTATTTACGACCGCTTTTAGGAATAAAAGAGTACAGTCAAATTCTCACTAAAAAAATACCTCACCTTACTTCCACAGTGCATCGCTTGTTATTTGACCGCTTAATATTACTATTTTTATTGAAAATTTGATTTGATTTTTTTTAAAAAATACCTAATAATACCTAATAAAATACCTAAGAACGATCGTAAATATTCTCATACAAACTCCTATGATGTCGCTATGACTCTTATTTGGCAAGATGATCATCTCACAGCTGGAACTTGAGCCGCCTGTGTCCTAGGTACGTCACCTGTAAAGTATAAAACATTATATGTATGTAAAGTATACGACATAATACATATTGGGGATAATAATTCCCCATACATGACATACTTACTGCCTTTGTTCCGAATGGCTCCTCTGCTGAGTGAAAGGATCGCGGGCTCTAGAAAGAAGAGAACTGGGTTCCAAATGACTTGGGCGTAAATCTGGTATGGCGATGTTGGCTTAAACTGAAAATGATAGACAATCAGCATAATTTGCCAGCCATAATTCCCTGAAGTTTGCGAAGGACTCTCCAAGGAACAAGGTACAGGGCACATTATTTTGTAATTCTCTAATAAAAAGGGTCCGTAAATGTTGATCAAATCTGGTTCGAACCTCGAACTCGTGATCTTTTCCATTCCATTCCATCTCGATCGTTCAGCAAGCTCATATCAATTCGAAAAGTATTTAAATATTTTTCAGTGTTCTGTTTAAGACCATTTCAACGCCATGGAGTGCCGTTTGAACTTCGAAGTGGTTGGTAAAGTCTTCTGCTTTATTTTGCTAATATTGCAAGGGGCCATTCTGGATTATTACCTCTACGAACATCATGAATACAAATCACTTGGATTTATAGCGACTGATGTTGTAGTTCTCGCCATCTGGATAGGCGTGATGTTCATGGCCAAACGAAAGTTGCTCAGCGAAAAATGGAGAAAGGTTCGACGAGGAAAAGAAAAAACTGACGGGAAACATCGGCCTGTTGAAGTAAAGAATGATGGTGCGGACGAAATCGCCTTTGTCTTCATCGCGTGGCTGGCATATGTTGCTATCACTCTTGTTCCTGAGATAGCTGTGATTTTTAAAAGATTTGCTGATCAGCTCGGAGATGCCAGAGTGTTCGGGCAAAACTTTCTTAAAGTTGCACTTTGCATCACTCCTATGTTATTTCTGTTGCTGGTTAATTCACTTCACGACGCCAAGCGCTCCTCTAAACGAAGAATCTACATTGACAAACTGTCAGCTGGAGTTACGCTGGATCTTCTAGACAGCATTGATATTTTGGAGATTTTGTTTATAGATGATGTAGAACTAAAACTTCCAGTTGCATTGGAAAATGCCATAATTGCATTTGCATGCATCAACTTTTTCTTGCCTACTTTAGCACTGCTTGAATTGAGTGCAATTGTAAAAGGTGAGGTTCGTTCTGCAACTTTTCAAATCTTGTACTCGATATCCTATATTTTTCTGGTAAATGTGCCCTTGGGGGTCATCAGGATTATCCTATGGACCAAATTTAACCAAGACGTGTCAGTGTTTATTGGAAAGAATATCATTGCATCAGCCATCTACATATTTGATATCTACGCAACCTGTGGGCCAGAGAAACCATTGCGGTGCCCTGGGTGTGGAAAATATTATACAACAGATTCAGTTGATGGTCACAAAGCTCTATGTTCTTGTACTGAACTTGGTGGGGGTGAAACTTGTACACCAATGACATCTCCCTTGGCAGATACGTTTGCTCCAGTTTAAAGAGGGACAGGAAACAAGTATAATTTACGAATATGTAAAGACAAGCCTCAATTGAGGCTAACTAAGCAATCAAAAATCTGTGCATGTGTGAATGTTGTCATGATTAGATGGTGTGCTTTCAAGTTGTCAGAACCAAGTTGTATTACATGAGGTAGAAACAGTTATACATCTCAGGAAGTTTGGGATTTTTCTGTACCAAATAGCTTTATTTACAACTCTCAAAACAACATTATTTTGTTTTAAGAGTTGTGAAAAAAATTATTTGGTAAATGAACAACACACTGATTGTTTAAATAAGCTCTTTGTTTTAAGTCTTAAGTTTTTCTTTTTCCTACTTTTGTCTTGTTCTGTAGATCTCTTTGAAGGTTTCAATTTTTTCAGATATTTTGTTGGACAACTCAGTTGTTTTTTTGTTTGGAATTTTTCTCCTTGTGCATGCTTCATGTTTAACTGTTGTAGTTAAAAGGGTGAGTTATGGGATGTTTTTAACCTCTAAGAATGATATGTATCTAATTTCAGACTATAACATCACCATAAATCCAACAAAAATAATGAAAATACAGGAAATGATCCCAAACTCAAGACGTTCTTGATTGTTATACAAATTCTCTTTGCATGTACCATAGAAAAATTATAGAGAACAGTAAGAAGAGTATGCATTCTGATGTTAAGATGTAAAAGGTTGAGAAAGAAACTTTTGATGGTTGCATTGATTTTGGTTTACCTTGGTCAGTGTTTGGTCAAGAAAATTTGCACCACACTCTACTGAAGCCAGTCATATATCAAAACTGAAAACATTTTTGCATGGTCACCCAAGTTTTCTTTGCCTTAACTCTGTGGCTTTTTTCAACCTCCTATTGGTTCCTTGTGTTTTGACCCTTTCTTCTTTTTGGCTGTTGTGATGTTTACTGAATACAGGCTTATTTGTAGTATAATAAACCCTTTAACTGCCAGATCAAATTTGTAATTCTCATTACTGTCAACCATACAATTCTTAGAATGTTAGCTCAGATAATTTAGTATTGAATCAACTTATTATGCCCAAACTGATATTTTTCTTCATTCTCAGCACTTATCTGGTTGATATTGTATTGATATTGTGAGGAGAAATTCTGTCTTGGTCACTTGTGGGAGTTACAGGGTTAATACACAATAGCTGAATTTTGCTTATAAAGCTAAGGGAATGCTTTTTTTTTTTTAAGGCCATGGGCATGAACCAGTATTTTTTTTCTTTCAACAGTATTTGATAACATATATGGGTTTTTAATTGAATAAGGTGTGGACCTTCGATTATTTTGTTCTCAGAACACAAAGATGAAGATCCTGCAACTTATTACAGATTTTTTTAATTTTTTAGGCTGGTCATTATCTTGAGAATTTAATGTACAATTAGTGATTAAATTTTTGACGCTATTGCTGTTGTGTAGGTCTAAGTTGATCCACCAAATAGAAAACCTGTTATCTTCAGAATCATTACTTGAGTTCAACCTCCCCCCCTCACCTCCCCTGTGAAATATTACACTTAATGTGGTATTATTTGCACTGATGTTAATGCTGTTAGGGTTATGTTGTGTCCAAGTCATAAGATTCTATTTACAAATTATGGCCCCATAGGAAACACTTTAGTACAATGTGCCAGTAAATTTGATAGTGGTTGTGCTGATTTGAAAACTGATTGGTTAAAGCTTGACATGAAGAGTATGTATTATTTTGTGTTTTGTTTTGTTTTGTTTGTTTTTTTGATAAAAACAATGTTCTATTTCTAATTCAGGAAACCATGAACATCTGAAATGCATCTTGAATATTTGCTGTACAAGTATTGCTGCAACAGTTAAGATTAATGCCTGATTTGCATGATTTCCTTGAGACAATCTTGTTTTAGTAACATTTCTGGTGTTTCACAAATATTTTCAGAGTTTAAGCTTTGTATTCCAGCACCATACATGTATACCTTGAGGGCTAACTATAGCTCATCTTTATTTTAGCTATAAGAATCACAGGGGACTTCGGCTCTATCAGGTAACTTTATAGTTCACTAATCATTGTTGTAGTTGTTTTCATTTTCACATGCTGATGTGTGACATATTTTTACAAGGGAGGAAAACAAGTGCATGTTTGTGTGTAGGTGTCACTATAGACATTCTTACAGATATAGTGCAACTTCCATGTTAGCAAGTTCCCTTTCGGAGTATTTTCAAGAGTTTTGTTTGAAGTATATGATATTTACCTGCCTTGCATTATTTATTGGCTTATTAAGACTAAATTAAGTATATGAAAAGTTATCTTTGTTTTATGAATTTGAAAGTTTGCATGGTTGCCATAGGTCTGAAAAAAGTGTGGGAATTTCAGTTTTAAGTCAGGGAAAATTAACATTTTTGAAAGAAGTCAGGCAAAGAGAAATTTAAAGTAAATTCATTTGGTCTTGGGTAAATGCTTCTCGTTTACCTTGTTTAGAGACGGATTCCAGACCAGCATAATCCATTTGATGGTAAGCAAACATTTGTTTTGCTTCTAGTTTCATTGTTTTTAAATTAAAAGTGTTAAATGTGTCAATGTACAAATTGAGTTGGGTTTCTAGGAAATTTTTAAAAATCCTTTTTACATGGTCTTACACGTTATGTGCATTGTATACGTCTTGCTGAGAGTGCAAATTTATTGTTTGAAAGCAGGGCTGTGAGAGGAGGTTGGAAGTCATACTCGGGACTCGTTTATGTCATTTCTAACCCAGTTGGTCAGGAATAGTCAGGGAATTTAAAAAACTTATGACTGTAGCAACCATGATTTGGACCCATCCCTCCTTGTCAAATAGTCCTGCACGCACCGCTGTGCAATCCCTAGAAGTGTCCAGCGTCTACCCAACCCTTAACTGTTAATTCGGATTCCTCTGCTTTGTTTTTTGTTACGCTTTTATGGAAAGAAAACGAAGCAAGGTGAGTTACCATAGAAACGAAAGCTATATCACCCAGGAATTAGACCTCTTCACCTTTATATGATTTTCGTAAGCGTGATTTGGTTTTGATTTGAACTTGTATAATTAGATATGATTGGACAGATATTCTAAGAGAACAACTTTTTTCTTTTAAAGTCACCCTATCAATTTGAAACCTTATCGGCTACCGATAATTTTGTTCGATAATTGTCGCTTATTTCATTCATAAATTTTTGGTTAAATTGCAGGCAATGAAATCCTATAAATATTACATTCATCGCTTCAGAGACTGAGAATGTTGACATCAAGCTCGAACGACAAACTCTGCACTGCTCCACGATCACTAAAGATTGTCAGGTATCTATCTGAAATTTTTAATTTCATAAGGTATCACAAAGCCCTTCAAACTTAAATTATTCCCAGTTTTTTTCATGACTTACAAAGATGGGTAAGAATTGTCTTTGAACAAGTTAAAAACTCAAACTTACAGTTCTTCTAACCTGAGACGAAAACCTGCCAGTTTTTGCCTTGACTCGCTTACATGAACAAATATTGTCTCTGAATGCACTCAAAACTCAGACTGACAGTTCCTCTAACCTGCGATGAATTTTCACTCGTAAATCTGAAAATTTAAATTCGAAAAAGAAAAATTTTGAATTGTACCAAGCTATTTGGAAGGAAAATTTTACTCAAAGAGGAAGACTTTTCTTTGAAACAAGAAAAGCAAGCAAGATAACTGACAAAATTTTAATTTTAAATGGGAAGGAAATGTGAGAGAAATACCTGAAATTAATTGTTCGATGGCGACTTAATACGTTGACATCAATTATTTTTATTCGGGGAAGTATACCAGATTATGTTCAAAGTTGGGACAAAGGAAGGCAAATCAAATTTATAGGTGTTTCGTTACCATTATAATGATCGAGATTGCGTGACAAAACGCTCGTGCAACACGCGATTAACCTTATATGGCAAGGGAAGTCTACTGTAACGTCAAGTTGTCATGACAACGAACACTTATCTTAGAATCCGGTTGCGTTTTGAACGAATCGGGCGTGGAGATTTTCATTGCAGATTTGCGTGAAATTATTCAAAGTAGCAAACTAAGAGTATTCATCAAAAATGGCTTCAATCCGAGAAGGTAAATATGATTTAGTTCTATTTTGTCTTATTTTATTTCTTGATTCATTTTTGTGCAGAAAGAAATCTTTCCATTCTCGATCGTTATTCAGTAGAGTTTTATTTTCTCATCGAATGCTCGTTTTGTTTTTTTTCCATAGGAGAGATCAAACAAGCTAGTCAAGAAAAGGTAAATTTAACATTTGCACAATTTGTATCTAGTTTAATACGATTGTTCAACTCTTTCTCTCTGTTTGTTTTTCCACAGGACTTATCTGAGAACCAGGTCAGTAAGAGCCTTACATTTTTAGCTTTGAAGGACGCAGAGGTCCGCAAATAGGTCATGATTTGTAACACCGTGTTAAAAGTAAAGAGGGAATTTACGTTTTGCTGCATTCTCAGTCCGCAGAATGTAAAGCGATAGCCCCTGAGCAAAGCGCTGCTGAGAGTGGAGAGGAAGGAAGGTAAAAGGAACTTAACCTCTAAAAGCTATCATGTCACCAACACTATTTCCGGTGAAGAACGCCAATGTCCGGTCAGCGGTTACCAGACAGAGATTATTGCGTCATCGCTCTACTCTCTCAAAGAGTAAAAGTTGAGGATTTTGAGAAAAAGTTTGTGAAACTTTTATGCTGAAGCAAAGCTTTCTCGCTCTTCCTTTTCTCTAAAAATAATTTCATATTTTTTTCTGACTATTTTTTTCTTTCCTTTTGTATTTGACGAAATCTTGTAGCGGGCCTTCGTGGAAGGACAAGCAGAAGATCAAGGTTGGTTTTTGCTACACCAAAAGGGTGTAGGCCGAGATACCTCGTTGATACTTCGATTAAAATCAAAAGAGTCTCCCGTCCAACTCACTTTCAGAGAAGGATATATATGTTGTTTGTATTTTATCATCGACAGGAAATCGTTATTTAAATGTATCCAGTTTGTGAAATATCTTTTAAAAGGATAAAACCTCCATTCAGCTTTTAAACCGGGGAGTAAGTTGCTCGTGTCACTAAAGAATTGACCTGATCCCCCCTTAGGCTCTGTAGTATTCATATGACTCTTCTCCCCCCGGTTACTGGCAGGTGATTGGCATTCAGTGTTCTTTAGTCCTACCTTCATACTTTGTTGACGACGACTGATCCCCTCTACTCCCCCTTGAAACCATGTGATCCCCCAAAAAATCCTCCGGTGTCCCTTCCCCCTCTCCCCCCACCATTGATGAATAACAACTGGTTTCTTACTGTTTGAATATTATTTTTCATTTTAGACGTTAGAAGAAATTGATGCCCAGCAAAAGAAGCAAATAGAGGCACTTACAGCAGAACTTAAGTAAGTATAAGCTTAACCAAATCTAAGTGAAAGTGTGAAATACTGGAGACAAATTTGCGTCATAAGACTTCGGAACGTCTTCGGAAACTTTTGAAACGTCTTCGGAAGTGTTCTTGTGCCTTCGGATATGATCGGGTCCGATGATAAGTTCTCAAGCGTTTGAGGTTTTCTCTCACACGGATATCTATTAATTTGTCACAAACATGATGCGATTTATAAGCTAGGCTTAAGTTTAATTTTCGGAAGAAATTAAATTAAATTCGTAGACTAGTAGTTCAAATTTGTTTTGTCTTTTAATTAAAGCAAGATGTGGATTCCAAACGCCTTTTCGTTCATCCACAGAGAGGCAGAAACGGCGTTGACGAATCAAAAGACAAAAAATTTCCAACTCAACAAGACAATGGTGTATCAAGTGCAGTGAGTATTTAGCAAAGTTTTTGAATGACGAACCGTAACCTGGCCTAATTTTTCCTTTTTTAGGCGAACGGTGACGAGCGTTAGACGAGTGCGAAGCCCGAGTCACACACGCGAGGATAGGAGTGCATGACTCGTCTTCACGCTGAATTACGCACGCAGTTTCATTCTTTCTTATGATCTATTGGATGACAAACGCATAGATGACGTCACCGTTAACCACCTTTTTTTCTACTTTATTATATACCACTTATAAATTTTATGTTGCTGTGGTCTGTCCAGAGATAGATCACAGACGTCAAAATATGGTAAGAACATCTGTGACATACAACTACGCCTCATATGCCAATTGTTGGTTCTTAACAAACATGACGTCATCTGTGATTTATTACGGAATATACGCACAGCAACATGGGATCTATTTGTTAAACAATACAAAGCGCAAACTCATGTCATATAAATTTATTTCAATTAAGTATTATGGGGGAATAAAAAACGTGGGACTCGATTGAAGTTTGGTCGATTGAAATCTAACATCGTCAAATATTCAAAGATCTTTTTATTATCACCTTAGTTGTATTTTCTTTAAAATGGAATAAAGTACTATGGCTGTCTATTAGGGTCAAGGGTGGAATGCATACCTAGAAAAGTACATATTGAATTGATATATTCTCTCTTACTATATAGGAAAATACGGGATCACGACATCTTAAAAAAGGAGTTGAAAAAAGAGGTAGGAGTATCTAGTTTTAAGCTCTTGAACTTTCTTCGATGGAGTTTCGTGAAACTGCAACCAGAGTAAATCAACGCGGCCAATCAAAGCAAAGCTGATTATCACGAGGAGCCCATATGAGCTCTCTGAAGCGCAAGTGAATGCGTCAAGTTTTTTTGAAACCTTGCAGCTGATTGGAAGAGAGAATGCACGGCGTGAGTTCTCTGGGCCAGTCACACACGGTTGAAACAGTACATACTATATCCCGAATGACTCTGGACACTTATTTAAAATTACTCTGTTGAAGCGCAATTTGGATTACAGCTGGGAAACTAAACAGGGATCGCCATAGTTGCTCTGTGTTTAAGAAAGATAGCCTAACAAGTGCTGCTCTCTTCTCTCGCAGTTGAAAGAAAAGAAGGTTTCCGAAAAGGCGATGTCCGAAAAGTGAGATAAGTTTTCGTTTATTCATAGTCATTTGTATTCTTAACTACACTGATTTGTCCATGGTATGAAAACTCGTTTTTCTTACGATCATTTACTACGTCAGGAATTATGTGAAGAGAAACCCAAACTTAAAAAGCATCAGCCATTATTTATCAGTGATCGTTGGTGAGATATGATTTTTCAGTTTAGAATAGATGTAAAAAAGGAGACCTTTCTAACTTTCACTCGACGGAGATGTGCAGTCTAAGAGAAATTTAGCCATACTAGTTATCAATTATAGCGGGAGGGGGGGGGGAGGCGGGGAGGCGTTGGGGTTTGGAGGATATTGGAGGATCGCATGGTTTTCACGGGGAACAGAGGGGGAATCAGTCGTCGCCAACGAGTATGGAAAGGCAGTCTACATAAAATTGACTGCTCTTAGTCTACAACACTTATCTTTATCTCGTCTGCTTAACACTCAAATTACAGTCTAAATATTCGCAATTTACATTGGATCTGAAATATTTATCTTTTAAAGGTTGGAGAAAGAAGAAGAGAATCTGCATAATCTAAGTATGAAGTTTAAGGCTGCCCAAAAAGAGGGCTGCAAAGTTAACCTTATTTTACAGGTATGTTGTGGAATGTAAGTGTTATATTTTTTGACTTCAGTTGTAAATGTTAGATTATTTAAGCCCAGATCTCCCCCACAGAACTTAGTTGATAGAATTAGGGGACTAGTGTAGAGTAAATCTGGTACGCATGCGTCATTTTCCCTATTTTCCCGCACTTTTGTAACGATATTGAAGAATGAGGGAACTGAGGTCAGGACAGAGATAAACTAATCACAAGCAACCTTGAAAAAGAAGCATATTGAGAGCACAAGCTGGAAACAAGTAGAAATTTGAGTTATCGAACGAATAAAAGATATGTATGTAATTACAATTCCTGCTGCAAGTGTAAGAGCGTTATAATTTATTAAGATAATTCTGGTTTTTTCAACTGAGTTGATTACGTAAATTGGCCACCTAAAGAGTTTCAAAGCTGACGTTTCGAGCTCTGACGAAGAACGCTCGAAATCAGTTTACATTATCAACTCAGTAGATAAAACCAAAATAATTTTGTTATACACCCCCACCGACGCAGCGCAGTTTCTTAAGAGACTTTACCCCTTTATTCATTATAATTTATTGTTCTATTTATTTAGCAAGAGAGAAGGAACTACGATCGGTAAGTGTAATTTCACATAGATGCTTGATATGTTAGTTTAAAACTTTCACAAACAAAGCTGGCTTATGGTTGTTGACTATATTGTTTACTGTTATCAAATGACCCACCTCAATTGCGTTGACCTGAAAGGAACAACCAATCCAGTTTCTTTATGCGAGAGGTTTCAGAAGTAACCATAAAATTTGTTATTCTAACCTAAACTTTGAAGTCAGCGCGATCATTTGTTCCAGTGAGTATCAGTCACCTTCTTCCGCCCTCCAAAAATTTTTGTCTTCAAATCTCTTGAGCTACATTTATACCCAAGGATACCACCCTTAAACAAATGTTGTTCCATCGAAAAATTCTCGCCTGAGTTGACACTTGCCATGCGAAATTTAAACTATCCGATGGAAAGAGTCCAGGGCATAACAAACAATAGCGCCATTGGATGTCCGTCTAAAAATACCCTTTCCCTAGTCTTAATCTGATTTATTTAACCTGTTTTTCGTCTTTGATCTCTCGTATTAATTAGAAAAGAAGCCGAGCTCGAGGAGGAAATCACCAGGCTGAACAACGAAGGCGCTGGAATGCAATCTAGTCTTACAGGTCTCACCACTGAGATAACCGAACAGAAGACTGAGATAGAAAAACTGCGGACTGGAAAGGAGAGGCTTGGGGATAAGTTCTTCCAACAAGAGATGACCATATCTAAACTGGAAATTAGGCTTGGCACGGTCAGTGGATTGAGTTTAAGAAGGAACTAGCTAGTCATTATTTATTCCCGGTGGTGCGGGGTTGCGACTTTGAAGGGGATCGCAGGGTTCTCGTGGGGAACGGTGGGGGGTCACTCGTCGCTGATAGAGTATAACGGGGGTACTATGGAAAATTGACTGTCAATAAGGGATCATGAGAATTCTGCATAACCTTAGGGGGAGATTAGGTAAATTTTATCTTCACACAGTAAATTCCTCCTCCTCGTTTTTTTTGTTTTATTTTTCAGACGGACACTCGCATTGGATACATGCAACTGTAAGTAAATTTTAGTTACATCCTAAAAAAACACATGGGAAATTTAACCGATAGATTAAACATGTTACAACAAATTTTGGCCGCCATTCCGCTTTCTCTCTTTCTATTTTAAGCAGAATGAAAGTAGTTCGTGAAATTTAGCCCGAAGGACTGACATCGGCAAATTAAGTCAATGACAGATTTATTGCATTTCGCGTAAATTTATGTGCGAGAGGGTTGGATGTTTAATTTGACTGACTGCTTGACTTGGTCACCTTGTTCACTAATTTCTCGTTTTGTGTTCCTCAGACGTTATAAAGCAGATGAGGTAAAGAATACCTCGCTGAGATTTCAGGTGAGTTTTAATTATGCCAAATCTCATTGATAACGATACCAAAAAAAAAAAGAAGAAGAAAGGAACAACAACAACAAAATCAAAAGCAACAATAACAAATAATATCAACAACAATGACGACAAATTTCAGACGTTGCATCAGAATGATGGTAGGTTTTCAGCTAGGTAGACAAAGTGAGAAAGCCGATAGTTTTTCATTTGCAATCGTGACAAGATAATGAAAAATCTCTCAAAGTTCAGACTTGTAGATAGAAATTGTTTTTTAGATAAACAAATTTTGATTTAGAACTTATTGGGGAAGTTCTTCGGTCAATTTTTCTTTGCTCTGCGAAGGCATCGAATTGATCTTCTTTCAGCCATTTGCTCAGCAACGTCACTGACATTTAAATTTATTGCCAGGCTTACGTTCTTTTATGTTGATGTGAACTGCGTAACGGAAATGAAATCTGATAAGCACAAGGATGGCTACTCCAAAACTTTCAGATTAAAAGTTTGCCAGTGTTCTATAAATTAAACATTCTTTTCCTTTGTAAATTGTAGATTGATGAATACAAGAAGGCCATATCAGAGAGTAAGAAGGAGTAAGTAAAAATATAAGTAAAAAAGATTTTTTGTCAGTCACGGGCGTAATTCGTGACTTATAGGAGCGGGGGCGGCGAATTTTTAAGGGAGGTTGTAGTTTTCAGGGGGAACGTAAGGAGGATCGGTCGTCGCCAACATATTATTAAGTGGAGATTATGCAAAACTTCCAATGAGCAATGAGCAGGGGGGGTGGGGGGGGGAGACGTATGGGAATATTACAGAGCCTTATGATGGACCAGGAAAATTTTACAGTGAAACAACCAAATCCTCCGAACCCCCCCTCCCCACCCACGCGATAAATAATGTCCGGTCCATTAGCGTGTGTAAATGTAAATCTCTCGTTAGGGAGATGTCTTTTGAGGCGACACTTTAATACTCTCGAAGCAGCATCCTACGAAAAGGTCCCACAGTATTTAACGTATGACATGTTTGAAATGAGAACATCAATTTACCAGTTTTGAATTGGGGAAATATAATAGACCCTATGAAGTTTTACGAGATATGTTCCTTAGCATTGCCGTAATTCATTATATAACTTCTTCAGGTTGAAAAAGACTCAGGAACAACAAAACGCGGAACTGCAGTCACTCACTGCTCAGCTTGAAAGCTACAAAGCCGAATGCGAAAGAAGAGGCGAGATCAATGAGGTACATATTGACCAATCAACTCGAGAATTTCCTTTTACGACATTAAAAAAGACACGTAAGCCAGCCTCGTTTCTTAGACTTTCCGAAACGAAGCAGAACGTCGGGTAATGCTATGCGCGCGACCAAAAACATGAGGGAAAAGAATCTGACACCACATCGAGTCAGCCTCTTTCCCAGTCCTTTTTTTCTTAAGGGAAGGGAAAAATTGACCAAACAGAAAGAGTCGTTTAACTTCTTGCAATACAGATTAAAATATATAATAAAGAAATGGAACTACCGAAATTTTAGTTTTAACTTATCTGACTCTTTTTTTATGACCAGGCCGACAAGGAAACAAAAGCCAATATGAAAATGTGAGTAAATGTTTTCTGTTCTAAAAGCGAAAGTCAGAGAAAGTGACAGAAAGGAAAATACTGTTATTATGGGTAGCTAGTCCTTGGTTTGTCGTTGTTTTTTGTTTGTTTGTTTTGCTTTGCTTATTGGTTATATGTATGTAGATAATGGGAGAAATGATCCTAACTATTTGGGTAATAAAATATTTTTAAAAACTGAAAAATATCTTTTTTAAGATAAAAATTCGTTCTAATAGAAACTTTTTCCAACTTTTAGGGACATCCGAATTCTTTATCAGCAGGTAAGAAATTTCTTAATTTATTTCATGACTCCGAGGAAATCTGGAGTAATCTTGAATAATTCAATCCCTTCTTTCGTGGTGATATATCAGCGAAATGTTTCATGGCACTTAGATCCGATACCAAACTGAACCTCTTATTTTCCTTTTTTGCAGAATGCTTTACTCCGCCATGAACTGACCAGCGGTTTCATCGCATGCTACAGAGCAGTGAAGCGATTCTTTTGGCGAGCCATCGACGCCATTAGATTGCTATTCCGCTGACCACTTCAAAGGAAAGGGGGGGGGGAAAGAAAATTTTTCTGATATATTCTTTTTTTTTGTTATTTGTTAAATTTTATACTCAAAATTTTAAAAATTGGGACACCAGAGACCTGAGTAGAGCAAGAATCAGAAGAACATGTGAAATATCTTCGAACAGTCTAAATGATGTCTAACTTGTGTCTTAATCCTTCCACCCAACCTAACATAGCTGAGTGTTCTTTCCTCATTTTGTCCTATCGTCGTAACATCAGGTTTGGAGGCAAAGCCATTGTACGTGGTTGACATGTTCACATCAGTCAATAACTTGTCACATTCTCACAGACAGTTTAAGGAAGCGATTTGTTTCATTTTTGAGGTCAGTAAGCAACTAATGTTTTTGAAATGAACGTCGAGAAGTGCTTGATGAATCATCTCTTTGGTTTGATTTTATATCTGGCAGTGAGAGCAAAGGAACGTTTGGTAATGGTTTGCAAAACAAAAACCCCAAAAAAAGTTTTGGTGCATATTTTCTTTTACTTTTGGTTACTGCGTAAGGTTTTGATTTTGTTTATAAAATGAGGCTTTGGAATTGTTGGTAAGGCCGCTAAAGGTTGCGTGAGCAAAAGGAAACGCAACTGGCTGTTGATAATGGTTTGCAACGGAGAAGTTTTGATGATATATTGATTTCATAAAAATTGCAGTTTAAGTTTTGATTTTGTTCTTATAGTGGAAAAAAAAATGTAATCATAAGTGAGGCCGATGAGAGGTGTGCGTGCAAAAGGATACGCGACTGGCCATTGCTGATGGTTTGTAAGGAAAGGGATGGAAATTATTGATTTTTAGGTTTGGGTTCTCATAACATGAATGAAGTATTGAATAAGTTGCTAGGGCCGGTGGACGTACGCTAGAAGATACGTGACTAGCCACTGCTGATAGTTTGTAAGGAAAAGGATAAAAATTGTTGATTTTTCTAGTTCTTGGATTCTCATAAAATGATTGAGGTATTGGATAAGTTGGTAAGGCCAGTGGGCGTGCGCTAAATGATACGCGACTGGCCACTGCTGATGGTTTGTAAGGAAAGGAATGGTACTTCAAAAAGTTTTTTTCGGATGGAGTTTGTTGATTTATTTCTTTGCTGCTCGTACAAATGAATACGAGTATTTGGATAAGTTGGTAGGGTAAGTGGGTGTACGCTTAATGATACGCGACTGGCCACTGCTGATGGTTTGTAAAGAAAGGAATGGTACTTCAAAAAGTTTTCTTTTGGATAAAATTTGTTGATTTATTTCTTTGCTGCTCGTACAAATGAATGCGAGCATTTGGATAAGTTGGTGAGGCCTGTGGGCGTACGCTAAATGATACGCGACTGACTATTGCTGATGGTTTATAAGAAAAGGGATAAAAATAAAGGGTTTTTTTTAGTTTTTTAATTCTCATAAAATGAATAAGATATGAAATATGTTGGTAAAGCCAGTGGGCGCACGCTAAATGATACGCGGCCGGCTATTGCTGATGGTTTGTAAGAAAAGGGATATAAATTGTTGCATTTTTTAGTTTTTGGGTTCTCATAAAATGATTGAGGTGTTGAATAAGTTGGTAAGGCCTGTGGGCGTACGCTAAAAGATGCGCGACTGGCCATTGGTAATGGTTTGTAAAAAAGGGATAAAAATTGTTGTTTTTTAGTTCTTCGGTTCTCATAAATTGATTGAGGTATTGGATAAGTTGGTAAGGCCAGTGGGCGTGCGCTTAATTAACGCGACTGGCCATTGCTGATGGTTTGTAAGGAAAGGAATGGTACTTCAAAAAGTTTTTTTCGGATAAAGTTTGTTGATTTATTTCTTTGCTGCTCGTACAAATAAATACGAGTATTTGGATACGTTGGTAAGGCCTGTGGGCGTACGCTGAAAGAGACGCGACCGGCCATTGCTAATGGTTTGTAAGAGAAGGTATAAATTTTTTTTTTTTAGTTCTTGGGTTCTCATAAAATGAATGAGGTATTGGATAAGTTGGCAAGGCCGGTGGACGTATCCCAAATTTTAAGTGAATGGCCATTGCTGATGGTTTATAAGGAAATTGATAAAAAGTGTCGATCATTTTAGTTCTGGGGTTTTCATATAATGATTGAAGTGTTGTTACTTAATAGTTTTTTTTCGAAAAATTTTGTCGGTTTTGTTCTGTACTACTCGCAGAAATAAATACGAGTATTTGGAGAAGTTGGTGAGGCCAGTTGGCGTACGCTAAATGATACGCGGCTGGCCATTGCTGATGGTTTGTCAGGAAAGAAATGGCGTTTGATTTTTTTTTAACGAAACTTGACTGTTTAATTAGTTCTTGGCTGCTCTTAATAATTACTAGGAGGTACTAGATGAGTTGACGAGGCCTGTGGGCGTGCGTTAAATGATACGCGAGTGGCCGTTGCTGATGGTTTCTAAGGAAAGGAATGCTGTTTATAAACTTTTTCGTTGATAAAACTGTTGTTTCAGTTTTGGCTGCTCATAATATGAATGAGGTATGGGTTATGTTTGTTAGGCCGGTAGACGTACGCTAAATGATACGTGACTGGCCTTGATGATTTGTGAAACGAAGTTCTGTCGATAACGATTTTTTTTTCTTGATTAAAGTTTTAATTTTGTCCATAAACTGTCCAGGAAGTACTGGATAAGTTAGTGATATCAGTAGGCGTGCGCTAAAAGATACGTGACCGACCTTGATAATGGTTTGCAAAGAAGAAGCTGACATTTATGAACTTTGTGTATAAAAATTGGATTTTGAGTTTTCGAAGGTTTTGTGTTAAAAAAAGAAAAGTGTATGATATGAATTTGACGATAAATTCGTTTAAGAAAAATAAATGAAAGATAAATATAATAATTAATGTAAAAATTAAGTCAAAGAAGTCAAAGACGGCTGGATTAGGAAAAGTGTTTTTCTGTGAAAAAGGGTAACAGCGTAACGGTAGCTTGACGAACCAGCTCTCTGTCTTGTGAAACCAGCGGTGCACAGCACAAGTTGGCTGACGGTTCATTCCTGACCTGTTTGTCCATTCTTTATCAAACATCCTTTTCTCTCGATTTCATTTTTCTTTTGAACAATAAATAACTTCGAAAAGGCTCTGGTGTCCCAAAAAAAAAAAAATTTTACTTTGTTATTTTAGTTATTACATTCATTATTTTTATCATTATCTATTTTTTTTTTAACAAAGACCGAGATCGATTTTATCTCACTCAGTGTGTATTAATATTAGTTTAAATAAAACGGAGAATTTTTGTATATGTCTAAGACTTGTTTTATATCACAATTTGGATGGAAAACATCACTGGAGGTAAAGAAGTATACAAACCGAAGAAAAAAAGGAGAAATGAAAAGAGGAGAGATCAAAAAACGTTTTGCGGAAGCATTGCCGATCGAGAAAAGTATTCTTTTGTAGATTTATATAATTCAGTCATATTGAACAACCAATTTTCCGATAAATTGTACAAAACAAAACAGTTTCGGGGGGACTGGGTACAGCATGCGACAAAAAAGTTTATCAATAAGGAACCGGTGATCATTTATCGTCTGGGAGGGATGGGGGGATTTGGTGAGTGTCAGAGGATTTAGGATGTATTTTGTCAGATGAAATTTACCAGATTCCCCATAAGGCTCTTTAACATTCTTATGATCCCCATCTCATTGGGGATTAATTGGTAGTCCCTCTCCCCCATACTCTGTAGCCATTTCCGATCCCCGTCGTAACCTCTGAGAGCCATGTGATCCTCTCCAAAATCTCTACTCCCCCGGCCCCTTTCTTTGCCCCTTCCCACAGGCGATGAACAATTTTCTAATTTATGGTAGCTGAGACTTCCTAACAGGAAATTTCAGTAAATTTTCCTGGCTGAGATTTTATACCCATCACTGTTTAATAGGAAAAACTTTCCGACCGCTGAAAGAGATGAACGAGGGACGACTTTTCAGTTTGGATTCTTCATTCGTACTGGGAGGTTCAAATGCGAAAATTTGCCTTTCCGATCGCCAATATCACGATTTCTCAATAGAGAGCTAACCCGTCGTCTAATCATAAAAACATATTGTGATCTGGACAAAGGAAAAGCGTTGTTCGATGCAGCCCGGTTTATGTGGCTTATATGATGAGGAGACCTTTTCATAATTGTCAAGAAAAAATTGTTGGTTTTCTGTTCAGCTTTTTCCTCTCTTTATTTCTCTGTTTCCTAGTTTTGATCAATGTTGTGTATTTTACACAAAAACTGCCAAACTTTTCTCTCTTCAACAAAAAGCCATTTATGTTTAGGTTGTCATTCTGACATCTACGTAAAGTTGATTAATAAACAGGGGGGTGGATCGGAGAATTATTGATTATAGGGGAGGAGGGGGGAGGGTCTTAAAGTAGATTTACTGCAACCCACTTCTTCACCAACTCCTTATGAGATAATCCAAGCGTTACTGTCTAATTAGTCCTTTGATATCAATCGGGAAAGCAAATAAATGAAATCATGCCTCTGATCAGGACCTCTTTGGATTGACGACAAAAAGCCTCATTAAACGTGATAGGACAATACCAGAGGACTGCCCTTTAACGATCAAAATTACTGTATTGGTTTTGTGCACATCTGCAACGCGCGTGGCCCTTGCGCGAAGGAACAAAGCCGCACAACGACCCTTGCCAACCAACGTTGGTCGCTGGGAACCGGCACTAGGCTGTGAAACGTAATTCATCCAGTCCTTCCTAACCAAGACTTCAAAACGCTCATTGGGTCCAAAGTTGCAGATCTCAAACTGGATGATAGTAAGACTGTTCAACGGCAGGGTGAAGTCATTACTTGCGTATCGTCCCCTAAGAAACGCAGTACTTGGTTGGATGAAACGACGAGACAGTCTTTCAAATGCAAACCCTTTCTGAGTAACACCAAGGAGTTTGAGTTTAAAGGCCGTGGCTGGTGGAGTAAAACTCACTTCATAATGAACTTTATCATTCGACGAAAGGTTCAAATTGCGAACAACAGAGCCAGATGAGGTGACAATCTGTAAACGAAGGGAGGCTGGGTCGACTTTATCATTAGGAGCCAGTAATGTAAGCACCATCGTGTTTGATTTTCCTGAGGATCGAAATGGATGTTGAGAATATCTATTATAAAAGGGAACTGCATATACAAGCTACAGATTTGATGATATTTACTCATTATTCCTCCATTTTTTTTTTCTTCCAGTTAAAATTATTTAGTTCTCTTTAACGTAGTGCTAATTCAATCCAACAAAAACAGGGCGGGAAATTTGTCAAGGCACACATAGCTTGGACAGACCTTGAAGTTTTTGGTAGCTATTATCTCCCAGAAAACAAAAATTATGAGATGAAATAAGAAGTGAGTTATTAGTGAATAAAAGAGTACCTGAAGCACATTGCTATTTATAATGGTGATAGGGCTGACTTGAGTCCAATTCGGTCTGTAACTTTACGAGTGATTAACAAAATCGGGCGTCTGCGGGGCGGGAGTCCAATTTGTCAGTAACGAGTATGATTACAGACAGAATTGGACGAAGTCCTGTTACCAATTAATAATAACCGTTACAACTTCCGGAATTAAAAAAAAAACAAATACATTTAGGACAAACATCACTGGTAGAGATTATGTCTAAAATACAAAATTCCTCCATTTTGGAAATTCCCCATTGTTTTTTCAGGATAAGTGGTTGTTGCTAGGGTTGTTGCTATGGTTGTTGTGATCAATTCTGTGAGTGATGTATTTAGCTCGGTGGACTTAGTATCATTGGCTGCTTCGACTGTCCGATTACAGGTGTCCGATTACAACCAACTGTCCTATTACAACTGAACAGAATGATTAATAAAAATGAAGCAGCTAATGCATCAATAACATTTGAGGAAATTGTAGTGGTTATGATAAAGAAATTAATTATAGAAGACGGGCACACATTTTAAGATTTGTTGATGAGTGCATTGCAAAGAGAGTTCCCAGATACCTTTCTAATTATTTCAATGTAAGAAACCGTGACATTCACCGCCACAAAACTAGAAATAATAATGACCTTATTTTAGAAAAAAATAATTTAGAATGCACCAAGCGCGCTTTTTTCTACAAAGGTGCAAAAATTTTTAATAATTTTTGATAATTCTTAGAATTTATAGCTGTTCGATCTTTCGTTTAGTGAAACTATTTTGTAATATTGTAATTTGATTTTTATCTATATTTTAAATCTTTTTATTTTTATTTTTATATTTTTAATTTTGTACAGGACCTGCATTGATAGCAGTTTTTTTTCTTAAAACTGAAGCAGCAATCCTGCATAAATATGTTTGTATTATTATTATTATTATTATTAAAGAAATTAATAATATTATCAATACGACACTGATGTAGGACTCCACTTCATCCTCCTTCTTGAACCCATCCCTTCTGTCGAAGCCGTACAGGTATGATTTTATTAATATCACGCCACGAAACGCTGTGCTAATCTTAGCAGGTTTCAGCACGAAAAAAGGACAACAATTTTAGTGCAAAGGCGAAATCTGAACATCTTATCTTAGTGTCGCCCATAATTACCCTGCGTGAAATAAATATTGATTCTAGTAAGAGATCAATTAAAACTTATCTCCTGGGGGGTGGTTTTTCCCTTTTTGGGGGGGGGGGCCAATACATGGTCTTCAGGGGAATAGGGAGATCAGTTGTTTCTAGAGAGTATACATGGAAACGGTAGAAAATTGACTGCCAATGAGAGGGGAATATTACAGAGCCTTGAGGGGAGGATCAGATGGAATTATAATGCGCAAAAAGTGCATGACCCTCCCCCTCCCCATCCCCGGCGAGAAATAATGGCTTGCCCCTTACTCTCAAACTAGTGAGTTTATTTAAGTAAGCATCAAATTTAGTGAATTATAATTATTATACTAACGTGCGATAGGGTTCGAAAAAGGCACCTCGCTTTTCCTTCGACGACGTCCCACTGGAATCATAAAATAGTGTTTGAAGTTGATGTTTGTCTTGCTGGTTGATTTGACGTAAAACTCGTGATCCCCAGTCGTGCCTGTTGTAATCTCCAAAGTCCAATAACCTTTTGGGGGGCTCGCAATTTGGTAGAAGCAAAGCTGAGAAAGATTGACCTTCTGTGCTGTGATGATGGCCCCAGAGGGGTTTCTCAAAGTAATTCCCCGACCTGGAGTGTAATTAATTGAGATGAAAACATATTAAAAAATGAAAGTTATAACGAATACACAAATGAGAAGATTTGAAAGAGAGAAATTCTTAGTAGTTTGAAATTTTGCCTCTCCTCACGATCCTTAATTGATGCGTATTTTTCAGGTCCTCTAAGGAGAGCTTCCACTGGTTACTCCCGACTCTCTTTTGATGCAGGGGACAGAGTTCTATTAATAAAGCTCACTTAGGAAAAGAGTGATAAACTTGGAATGAAAGTCGTCGCGAACAGGCGCAATTTTTTTTCTGTTTTGCTTTGTTTTTGCCTTTATTTTCTTCTGTTATGTTTCGTTATCATCGTTACTTTCCGTGATACAGTTTTCATTTAACAACTTTTGAAATTTTTAGGAAGTCATTAACAAGCTGGAACAAAGACTTCATCAGCTAAATATCATCAGAACTGTAGATGACTGGTATGAAAGGAAGGGAGGAACAGCCTCGATCACTAACCATTTGTATCAGGCTGATTCGTTTTAACTGATATTGTTACAGTCTCGATGGAATCATCCACGGGGAACCTATAACGACGCAGCCCGCCGGAAGTTCTCTTTTTTCTACCGGACTCGCTGGATCCGAGGCTGATGATGGTGGTACCTTCCAAGGCTCCTCTTGTAACGTTTGCAAGTTTCTCCAGTTCTTTTACGCTTTTCAACAGCACGACTTGTCCCGAAGTGAACTCGGCAAGTTCACGGAAAGCTGGATGAAGCTTACCCCCACAGGCGCCTAATGAAAAAATCACCATCACAGGCTTTTTTCATTGACGATGACATATTACGTCATTCACTGATTTAAAAACTGAGGTTTTATGGGAAGACAAAGATATTTTGTTTTTATACCACATGAACTGGTGCTCAGTGCTAATTAAAAGTTTTGTGTCAAATCACATTGAAGTATGTAAACTGACATGGTATGGAAAATTATTTCACCGTGAAGGGAGAAATATGCTGACCTTATTAGGAATTGTGATCCAATTTCAGACGATTTCACACGATTTCCTGACTCAGAAAATACCTAATCCTCTCCCCCTCTCTCTCCATTCATCTCCACGCAGGGCGTAACTCGGGTGTTAAATGGGGAGAAGGAGGGTCGTCGTTACTTATTTCTGCGCTTCTTTCTTGGCGCGGCTTTTACCGCTGTTGCACTTTATGGATGTACAGGCTTGCATTTGCACGCCGACCAACTAATGCAATATTTAGCTTTGGAAAAGACTCATGACACGCACATTCTTCTCCTTCACGCATTTCACCTCTCGAATTATAAGGTTTACACGCCGTTGCCTCTTTTTTTCACAATAAATCTGCTACCAATAGAAGGTTCAGACAGCCCCCCCCCCCATCCCCTACCCACGCCCCTGCTACGTTGCACTCCCCATAGTTAATAAAGAGAGAACAACTTGTCCAAATACCTGTAGTCAGAAAATGTATTGTGACATCATCCATTTCTGCCAGAATCTTCACTTCTTCTATTTTCTCCTCCGTAGCGTCTTTGGGGCCAGCGTCAGTAAAAACGTACATAGGAGAGCCAAACAGAGGGTCCTGCCCGAAAGCGTTTACAATACCCGCTAGAGTATATTCCGCGCAGTCTCCCCCTCTATGTGCAGTCAAGGCATTTATTGCATCAACAAACTCTAAAGATTGGTGACTTTCTTTAAATACCACCGCTCCGGCGTCTATAAGCGCATGAAAAATGATAAAATAAAATAAAAATAAATGAATAAAACCAGGAGCCCATTACTAACAAGTAATGGGCTCCTGATAAAACAAACAATAAAACAATGATGATGGCGAACTTACTGAACACAATTATAAGAAAAGTATGAATAAAACACAAGTATTAAAAATGTTGATGCTGAAGACTATTGACGCAATAGCGAAGCCGTTCGTTTAAAAGCAACAGTGTTCAAGGAGTATTCCGTCGAGTGCTAATTTTTTGCGTCCACCCCGTGTGGCACTGATTTCATTTAAGAAAATATCCTGAGAATGCAGAGCGCAAGAAAGGTAATTTTGTGCTGCAATGTGGTTTTTCAATGCCAGGCTCAAGTACCCGTAAGGCCCAGCAAGAATATGCTACCTAAGGGTTCATTCTTCGTTTTAATATATATAAAAGAATCTTCAAAGTTGTTCCGGAAAAAAATTACCTCCTTGTTATGTTGCCTTGTATTTTTGTCTGGATAAGATCTTAAAACTGCATACCTGACATAGGGTCATTGAAAGGTGATAGGATGTAATCCACTGGCACCTCACGCGGATAATTGATGACAGCTGTGGCTATCTTTTTTACGGCTTCTATTTCCTCACGCATACTTCCGGTATCGTCAATAACAAACACCAAAGACACATTTCCTTCGACTGCCATAAAGCTATCAAATGTCTCGTTTCCGAGACCCTGACGAAGTCTCTGAAGAAACAGATTTCCTTCATTCTCGAGAGATCTTTTTTTTCGCTTAGAAGACTTGCTGAGTAAATATAATATTCGTCCGAGTACCTCTCTACCATAATCGAAGCTTTTGCTCTTGACTGCATCTTCCAAAAGCTGTGATAACTTAGCAAGAGTGAGGTTGCTGTATTGCAACTGACTTCCCATCGCAGCAGCGTTCGCTACAGCCTTCTGGATCTCGCTGATGACTTCGAGGAACTTGTTAGATGGCGTGTAAATTGTGCGTTGTTGAGGCCTTTTGGTAGGGGAGTCGCTTTCCAAAGAACGAACGAGACTGAAAACAGGTACAGGTAGCTCAGTTTCGGGATTTGGAGCAACTCGAGAAAACCCAAAGAGCGCTTTTCGGGTAAATCGTAGAGAACCAAAAAGGTCCCCAGAACAACCATACGCTGATAAAAGCAAGCAGACAATGCCAACTTTGAAAGAGAATAACGATGTTTTCATCGTATTTGCCATTTCTCTCGTGTAAGCCGAACGAAAACCTGTCTCAGCTTGGCCGTTGGCACTGTTGGCACTGTTGGCCAGCCTCCAAATGTTTTTCCTAAGCCCCAATCTCGTCCCTCTGTGAAAGTAAGCTGGTACAGTTGGTAATTCTCAGTGGCGTGATTTTGGACATGAAAGCCTTCTATTTAAGGTCAATTATATGTTTTAGTAAATGTTAATGAAAGGAAACCGTCCTGGAAAGACGATACTCAACCTCTTGTTTATGGCCGTAATATGTAAGATGGTACGATCTAAACGAAATTTTTTATTTACATTGGTTTTGAAAAATTTTTATTTGTTTAACAATCAAGTACTTCTTCAGTCGATGATAATTTCCTTCACTTTAGTGACCTTAATTAATGTGCGATTCAGTGGTGATATCATGAAGGGTTATGCACAATTTGTAACGTGAGTAGATGCGTATTTAAACAAGAACCATTATCATCTACCTAAAAGCACTGTGGAGTATTAGTAATGGGGAAAATACAAAGAGAAGCCATTTTGTAAATTGTCAGAGGTGTTGTGGCAACATTTCAATATCTATAAGTGCCGACAGAACACATGTGGTGATTCATGTAGTTAATTTGTTTTTCCGTTTGGGATAAATTGTTTATTAAAGCATTATTTTCTCTCTTGCTCTCTCTTTCTTTATTTTATTTTACTTTTCTTTTCTTTTTTATTTGCTGACGATAAATAGATCGAGGATGAGAAGCAAAACATCGCGGCAACGATTATGAGACTGATACTTCGGGCAGCCGACAGAAAAAATCGTGTTGGATTTGTAATTTGCAGATCAACTGGAAAGTTTAAAAAGCGTCAGCATTCAAGATAGAAAAATGACAGTAAGCGATTACAAAACATGATGCTCCGGTGACAATATGTAATCATTGTCGAATGCAAATAAGAAACCGTTATAGAAAGTAAATATAAACAAGCAAGTGTGAAGTAACTTCAGAATTGATAAGGGTCGTGGGTGCCAAAGAAGACTCGTAAGTAAATGATGAACCTCTTTGCGACAATTCTTTTTGAGTATTCCGAGCCGCCTTCTTTATGGCTGCGAATACATGAAAATGTGAACTGCGGTTGACGAAACGAATGTAAAAGTGATCCTCGTTGTTATGAAAACTACTTAACTAGTAGTGAAAATAAGGCCTGAAAAAAAGTCAGGGCTGTACGGTATTTGAAAACACGACCTCTGCAATACCGGTGCAGTGCTGCACCAACTGAGCTAACAAGCCAACATGGAGCTGATCATTATGTTGGTGCAAAATAAACGCGTGAAGTGATAAATAAATGACTGTGAATGTATGAGAATCTTGTATGCGAACTGCGGATAAAGACATGAACGTGAAGGCGATCTTGAGATCGCCTTCATATTCACGCCTTCTTTATCTCAGTTATGTAGATTGTCTCATATACAGGAAATGAAACTTCGCACGGGTTTCTTAAGTTTTCGTCAAGAACATTTTCTAGCTTCCGGCTGCACAATAATTTAGTTTTATGAAGTGAGTTAATAATGTAATTATATCACCATGAAGGGTTTTTATTGATGACGGTTAGAGCGTCAACCTTGAAATCACTCCTCGTTTGCTTACTGCTGCACTAGCAACTCTGATGAATTGTCAGTTGTTTCATAATTGATCAGGCGTTACTTGCGACTTTTTCACCTTGCTCTTTTTAACAGAAAAACGGACGCACACCGTAAAACGTTTATTTACTTTTTGTCTCACCTTCCCTTTGTTAAATTTCTCGAAAATCAATGGCACAATACATGTGATATTTTACCATCTCGCGAAGAAAGTTGACAAGTATAAGCTTTGTTTATGAAAGGAATCTATATCTGCACACGAACCAAGTGATACGAAGTGTTTATCGGTTGTTTCGTACCCACAGTCGTTTTATACCCGGTTAGGTCGATTTTTACCCGGTCAGTTGAGTTGTTTCGTATACGTACCCGTACTAAAGTATCTTTCTTCATGTATGTTTTAACTTCATATAAAATGAAATAAACAAGACGCATATTTGCTTTCACTAGGGCTCTCTTTTAGAAAAAACTTTGTTTTTTGTGCCTGTATCAATGAGGGTCTACCGCGAACGCTGAGTGCATATTTTGTATGCGTTTTGAGCGTATACCTAAAGTAAGGTAGGTTTAATATTTGAGGTACAAAACAAACACTAACTGTTATTGTTAGGAAAATCGCAAGTTTTACAATAGCCTTTTCTAATGAAAATATCACACTTACCTTGCGCAAGGCAACAATTCAGTCGGTTAACTTTACTGAATTGTCGAACGCAACAATCTATGTCTGTTCACGCACTTGCAACTGAGGTAATTCGAATGAATGTATCTTGAGTCGTGTGCGAATCAACCAGCAGTTCGGGTACGAACCGAATTAAACTGGGTACAACGACTCAGTGGTTGCGAAACAGGATAATATAGGCGAGTGTTACTAATTAAACTAAACGACGCAAAATCTTATCAGCTTTTGAAAAATTTACAACGCCTATGAGTTTTTCAATTAATAAATTGCAGAGATGAGCTAAGTTTGCGCAGTAATATGCTTATATTGATAAAGTTCGTTATTTGATTGACTTATTAGAAACGCATCATCTGGGAAATAATTCAATGAAAGAACTGAAATCATGTATTTGATGAAAATGCTTATAAAGAGACTTAGATGTAATTCTTTTGCGAAAAGATAACAGGTTAAGTAAGAGCCAAGTCAAATTATCAACTCAGTTGATAAAACCAAATAATCATACCCATAGCAGCCTGCAAGAAATCGTGAAATATCTTTATCCAAGCGGTTTGTTTTGGATTGTTTCGAAGCAGAAATTTCAGACTTCTTAAACCAGAGTTTTTTTTTTCCAAAGAACACAAACATGCGCAAAAAGAATATGTTTCCGCAGAGTAAAACCTTCGCAAGGTTTTTTTTTTAATTTCATGGTATCGCGCACCAGGAGAGTAACACTTAACCTCGGATCAGTAAATCAACGTTCTACGGAAAAGTTTATCGCTGCATTATTGATCTTCTAAAAAGAGTGGGCGGGTGACACATTTTGCTATCCTTTGTATTCGAGGACACTTACAAGGTGAGATATTTCTTTTTATGGTACAGCTAATTAACTTGTAAACAATCAACTCAAGTTCTTTTCAATTCCTTTTTGATTTGTAAACAATAAGCACCGCGCCTCCTTGTACGCTATAAAGTTAGGTCACTAATTTTAGATTAGGAGTTTGAAAGAGTCACAACTTGAGTTGTTGAACAGATTCTACAGTCATGTCTTCTTGTTTTAGAAATGCTCTCACCGAAGTTCCCACGGTAGAGTCCGTGAAACGGCAACTGGACTTCGATGAGCGGAGTAGCCTCGAAATGGAATCCGAATTCCTCCGAGCACCTACAAGGGGTACGAAAAGGAGTCGTCGCTTAGACTTCGGAAAAACCGACCCCTCGGTGCTGTTACGTTTTCCTGGTAAGTAAATGGTTACGAAAAAATTGGGCATTCATAGAAGGAAGTGCACAGCTATAAATACAGGTAGTAGTTTAGCATGTCCCAGGTACTCGGTGACTCCCCAACGGTCGCTAAGAGGTTGATTTCATGTGACATGGAGAAAGAGAGTGAAAATAATGGCTGTCTTTAAGAAAAGGCTTGATTATGTATTTATAACAGATAGAAGACGCGTGCTTATGCAACAGGCTATCATTTCTTTCTTTGGTTGCCAATCTGTCACAATTGTTGTTATCTTTTCTTCTTGTCAATAACATCGTTGCAAAGAAAAGCCGTGCGGGTGGTCGTTCATTAATTTTCCTTTCGGTGAAGATTTTGAAATGGGGAGCGCTTATATGTAGAACAGAACTTTTTTTGGGACCGAGAATTCTAAATAACACTTCGGGGAACACAGTCGTTGAAAAGAGTTAGAAAGCATTATTTCGTTTGTTATTATTTAATAAGAAAGCAATATTCAGTTCTGATATGATAACGCACTCATTCTTGTTACAGATTTTGAGGACCAGATAGCATTTCACTCAGAGGCTTTGCGTTGGAACTCCTGTAGAAGCATCTTCTCGGCTATGCAAAAGGATAAACTTGAAGCTATGTTCCTGAAGAATAAGTATCCCACTCGCGCAGAGAAAGCGACTTTGGCTGCGACTTTAGACATTACCATAAACAAAGTACAGGTAAGGATATTCAACTTCTTGATTTTCACCCAAGCTTATTAAGAAAAGTGACGAATATAAAGTGACGGTCTCTATAAAAATAATGGCCAACGGCTTGACTCTTTCGTTAGTTTGTTCAATTTTTACTGGGAACGCCAAGTCTTCGATCTATGTTCTTACATTGTGTGGTGGCAGAGTACGGAATTTTTGCAGTGGCTGATCGAAGAAACGGGAGCGCGAAAAATGGTGGGGTCAGCCGTTTCCCTGACGACCACGACTACCGTTTGTTGTTCACCCGCTCACCGCTTGCTCTCATTGACGAGAGGGTCTGGAACTGGTGGATGATAGATTTCTTTAAATTGTTTAAAGTAAAGTCAAAGCTCAAAAGTCTGTGTTCGTAACTTTATTCCGCTTTTTGTTGACATTGAATATTTCAATTCACTCCTTACTATTGCGAATACTCCGTGGTATTGCGAATAATGAAAACTAAAAATTGCTAAAAAGCATGCGTACAGTTCTTTAGAAACTAATATCTTATTTCTTGAAATGGTTAAATTGCTCTATCTTTTTCATTTTCTAACAGACCTGGTTTAGTAACCGTCGCCAAAAGTGGAGAAGACAACAGAAGAAAAAAATTGCGGGTCCCTTTGGTCAGCCCTCAGTTCTTCCTCGATTGTCTCTTATTAAGCGAACCTCTCAGAGCACTGCCAGCCTCCAATGTTACTCACAGTGCCCTATACAACAACCAGAGCAATCTCAGCCTCCATCTTCCGCTCTGCACCAGGCTACAGTTCCGTTCGCTCCATCGCTACAGACTGCCCAGTCCTTTGTTGCTTGTAACCAGACGTATCCGCAGGAATACCAACCACAGCCGAAGTCTTCGCAAAGACTCTTCTCCCCGCAGTACCATGCCGTGCCTAATCTACCTGCTGTTGCAGAAACCATATCGCCTCCTTACCTGCCATTTTCTCACTTGATGCAGAGAATCCCACAGCAGTATCCAAACGCCTATCTCCCTCCATTTCATTCCAAAGATTCAGAGCCTTCCCAAACTACTTGCCAACCGATGGACGCGTTTCATGCCTCCAAAGCAGAGTCTACCCGTCTGGCAGATGAATTCCCGTTCTCATACTCCATCGCCAAAGAAATGCCGCATATCTTCAGTAACATGGAAGACGATGAAGTCCTGGACCATCCACTCACTCCCTCTTTTGAGTGTTCATCAGACCTTGCTCCATCAAGAGAATTTGTAACGTACGAGTCATGCCAGTTCGGTTTTACCACAACTGATTTCAGCGACTGTGTTTTGCCTGAGCAGAGTGAAATTTCGCGGAACAGGCCGCACTCCTGCTGCTTTGGAGGGAACAGTGTGCAGTCTCATCCCCTTATAAAAGAACCGTCTTACGGCTTCATGTCAGAGGGAAGAAGTTTGAGGTTTTACAGACACGATTGAGCGAGCTGAAAGGACATAATTTCTCACGAGGTGGTCGCTATTTTTGACTTTGAGGCAATATTTTATTATGAGCGGCTTTTTGTTTTGGCATTGCATCGTCAGATCTCCTATTTCGAAGTTTTCCCTTTTATTTGCCATCAGGGCATGCAAAGGTTCCTTGTAATTTGTTAACTTACTTTGTTGATTAAATATAGTTTACTGAACAGATGTGCCTTTTGATTTGCGTGTAAAAGAAGAACGGGTAACGAGTATGACAAAACAAACAATTAAGAAGAAGAAAAATGAAAATTTTTGGCATTTTTGCAAAAGGATTCTTGAATATTTTTATTGTAATCGTCGACATCGCGAGTTTTAAGTCTAAGGAAAGAGATAACGGTAGTTTAAGAGCACAGTCGACCGAGTGCAAGCTGAAAAAAGACTGGTTAGAGGTCAATAACGACAAGGCATTCCACGCGAAATTTGATAATAGCCTGGGACTTAGCGCGTGTTGTGTTGGAACTCGCCATGTGACTAAACTTCGTCGTAAATATAGTTTACACACAGGAATTACATCTGATCTTGACACAGTCAGCAAAGTCACTCGCAGTAATATCAGAGTAATTATGCCGAGAAAAGCGAGATCACTTTCGAAGAGGAAGACCATGTAATCTTGTATCATTATGTCTTTCGGATCAAAATGGCGGGATTTTCGATCTTAAAAACTCTGCACGTTGAGAATTCGTTGCGTTAAACGGTCTATTTGTTTTGGCTATGGCTGCATTGGATAGCACCTCTGAACTCAGTAACCTTTTGGATACTTGGCGAAAGGAAGATCAGGATAATGTATCACCTGTTAAAACTCTTCAAAGGTAGTAGTATTATTTTCTTAATTTGAAAAAGAAAATGACGATGATAATCGCTGAAAGCTTTCAAGTAGCTGCCTCGTTGCAATTGGTTTCATTCGTTAAGATGCATTGAAATAAATATTATGTATTTCACAGTGACAAACTTTCTTAATTTTAAGACCGTTTCTCCAGTTCATCTTGCATGTCAACAGATACCTTCTACCTAGCGAGGCATATGGTGGTCTGCCTGTGATAAAACCGTTGTTAGGTTAGCATGTGGCTGTAATTACACACCGACAAAAATTCCTATTCCTCTCTCAGAACGTATAAAACATAGCATAGAAAGGTAGAAAATAAATGGGAAAGACAATGGCCGAATGATTTGTGTGCTAGATTCTGGAGGGGAGTTTTTTTAGTTTCAAGCCTTGGCCGTGATGATAATTGTGTGATACACTCTCAGTGCGTATGACTATTTACTGGAACTGTAAGATAAATAACATTGTTCATGTTGGGCTTTACAAAAAGTGAACAAACAATCTGGCAAAAAGTAGATTCAAAAGTGTTTTTACGTTTTAAAATCACTCATGTAGGATAGCAGAGCTTGTGGAACGTGAGAATGAGGCATATCATAAACTAGATCCAGATCCTTTTGATGATCGGCATCCAGGTAAAAGTGCAAAGTTACCTTTTCACGTTACACACTATTTATGTTTTATATGTTATAACATCTATTACAAATACATTAGGTAATGTAATGTTAGGTATTCTTATCAGATACTAGGAAGGATAGCTACAGACATAAAGGGGGTAAGTTTCTTTGAAAAAACTGTGATGCTGCATCAGTGGGGGAGTTTAACAAGGTAATTTGGTTTTATTAACTGAGTTGATAATGTTAATTGGCCACCATAAAGAGTTTCAAAACATTTCAAGCATTAGCCCTTTGTCAGCGTGTTTGTTGTGTAAACCTCTTCCATTAACTGCAAGCCGATAAGAAACAATATGTATATTGAAGAGAACCAAAGCCTGCCAATAATGAAACAGGTCCAAGACACACTCTGCATGAAAAAGAACGAAACATGACAAACAACAGTAATTCAAACTTTCATGGATGAGAAGTGTTGTTCTTGCTTCTTATTCAATGTCAATTCTTCTTTTTGTTCCCAGTGGAATCTTCACTAGACTTACTGTGTTAAAGAGGCACTATATCTACTTACTTGAGTCACAAGAAAACACTAGAACTTAGATGAGGCTTGGTGTGGCCTGGCTGTGAATGAACTTAATTACTTTATTATAAATGTTTTCTCAGTTAGTACATGCACAATGATTGGTCAATTTAGTGGGTTGTATTTCACTGAAAAGCTTGAAAAATTTTAAATTTTGGCTTTAATTAGAATCTTCTCCTTTTATTGGACCCTGATTATTAAAAATCTTATGAGCCTCATTTTCTCAGTCCATACTCTTAAGTGACAGAACCTTTTTTTTTTTTTTTTTTTTTTGGCTCAGATGTATGTCCTAAGGGAAAAAAACTTGGTCTGTAATTTTAACAGTGCAGATCTCACACTCAGTCAGTAAGAGGTCTTGATTGTATTAAATTATTCAAAATAAAATCAGCTCTTGTTTTCTCCATCATGAACATTTCAGGTAGAGCTGACCCAGACTGTGCATTAGGCCATCTTTTGAAGACACTGTTCAGAAATGATGAATTTATGGACAAACTAGTGAACTCCTATATCATGAGCACTGTGGAACAGTTTAATCTGAACTGCACTGCAGCCAGAGTGTTGTTAAATGCCATGCCTGGGCTGGAAAGTGCTGCAGTTTTTCAGGATATGGTAAGTTTAGAAAGGTATTCTTAATCCTTTAACTCCTAAGATCTGATTGTTAATTCTCTACTCTAGCTGCAACACATTTCCTTGTGAATTAGTTACAAGAATTTGGTGTTAAATCAAGATGACAACTTCTACCTGATAAGTCAGAGTATTCTCATTACCTTTGGCTGGATAATGTATGCATATTATAGGGAGAAGTTATCTGTTAATCACTTCTGGGGGTCAAAGGGTTTAACTTAGTAATCTTAAGATGTGACTTTCTTTCTTCAGCTTGAGTTCTATGTAAAAACCCAGATCAATGTGTCCAGTTTCTGTGGCATGGCACCAATTGTCCTTTTCAGAACAAAATACTCTGAATTAACTCATACAATTGCTATTTCATCAAATTATAGATAAAAAACATGAATTTCATGTAGTTACATCATGAAAAACAGAAAAGGAAAAGAGATCTTATTTGTTGCTCTCAGTCATCTCACTTTAGTGCAAAAAAACTTTAAAAAAATGCAAACTTTTCAGATCCTCTTTCATTGTACCTTAATTCATAACTGCAAATTTCTTAAATAGAACAAGAGAGATGGCAAGGTTTAAGCTCGCTAAAGAAATAGAGAAAGATGTTTTTTGTCTTGTCACAAGCGTGTGACAAAGAAAAAAATTCTGAATCCCCAGGTTGAATTGAACCTTATACCTTCAGATTCTGGGGTCCAATGCTCTACCACTGAGCCACAACAAATAAGATCTCTTTTCCTTTTCTTTTTTTCTTTGTCCCACGCTCGTGAAAAGACAAAAAACATCTTTCTCTACATATTTCCTATCAATAAATTTGATGTCAATCATGTACATGTAGGAAGCAATGCTTAATCGTTTATGCAAGTGGGCCAGAGAAGCCTCAGAACCCCTGAGATCATATGCTACAGGTATTTATAGCATAGTTTACTGGTCTTACTTTTCACAGTACTTCAGGCTTTGAACATTTTGGTCACCATGCTAAAAACAAAAGGAAAAAAAAAATTGAATTGACTAAATATTTAGCATCAAGTGCTCTCCTTGGGAAAATTAGATTTACCTAATTCCTGTAAAGCTTCTGAGTTTCTGAGCTAACTCAATTTTGTTTACACCTTTATAAACTGGGTGCAAGTAGAAGGGTGTTTTAGTTCGGTGATCCAAGGTAATTTACATTAGGTTAACCCTTGAGAGTGACTTGCATCTAATTTCTTCTTTTAATATCACCCCTGAATCAAACATTAAGATTGTGGAAATAAAGGAAATGATAAGCAACTGAAGAACCTCTTGATTGTTTAACAAATTCTCCTTGTCAGTGCATTAGGAAATGTACAGAGAACAGTATGGAGAATATGCATACTGATGTTAGGGTGTAAAGAGTGAAGATATACAGGGCGTGAAATTAATTTTTTTTCTGATAGCCACTTGGCTCCTAAATTCTTCAAAGTGGTAGCCAATCCAAAAAAAGTTGGTCGCCATTTCCAAAGACAAACAAAACCTTTTTTTAAGCTGTCAGCGTTCTAAATAGAACCTCCAAAATTAAGTTTGGGAAAAGATTTATTAAAGGATTTATCTTTGCAAATTTTTTTAATTCACTATATCTCTTGGTAAGGTTATGATGAAACATTCTAGTCGCCAATTTGGCGACTAATTTCCAGGATTTGGTCGCCAAAGTGAAAAATTTAGTCACATTGGCGCCTGTATTAGGCGCAATTTCACACCCTGATATAGATAGTCATAGTTTGATTGAGGATTCTAATATTCCTTTTTGATCATTTTTTATGTGTATTGCTGCAGTTGCATTTTTAATTTGTTAATAATAATTATTATTTATTAACAGGTCTTTTAGCATTTGCCATGGAGAGCCAGGATATTGCTGCAGTATTCAGAGAAGAAAACTCCACCTTGGTAAGTCAGTATAGCAATAATTTGATTTTAGATATATGAAATTCATATAGTTGCACTGTGGTGAAGAAATAAATATAAGAGATCCTCACAGCCAAGAACACTTCTGAACTAGTAGTTGAAATAAGACCTGAAAAAAATGTTCAGGCCCGTATGGGATTTGAACCCGTGACCTCTGCGATAACGGTGCAGCGCTCTACCAGCTGAGCTAACAAGCCAACAGGGAGCTGGTCAATATGTTGGATGAAGCAATTTTTAAAAGTGACCGCTAAGGTTACAAGAATAAAGGAAATGATCACCTATTAAAGAATCTAAATTCTCCTTGTCAGCACCTTAAGAAATGCAAGAGAAGGATATGAGTATTGATGTTAGGGTGCTGAGGGTTTTTTGTTTTTAGCTTTGTGGTTAACAGTATTTGTGTTTCAAACGTGTGAGTGCAAAGTTGGCTTTTCACATCTCAGGAATTGTCTATTGTTAGTCATTGCATTTTTTGTTTGAAAAACTCTTGTAAACTATAAGCTGAGGATTAAATGTTGAATTTCACATGTTTAGGTTCCCTCTATGCTGCGACGGCTGCACATTTTAAAGGACTTGTCAGACCTTACACAGCCCGCTGTGACAGACCTGTCAAACAGGATTATCCTGAAAGCAAAAACAAACAGGAACAAGAGTGAAAACAGTAACAGTGTGAGTAACAAGATAAAGAAAGTGAATCTTGCTGAGCCAGGACCATCATGCACTGTGCCACAGAATGGTGAATTATCCGGTTTGTGTAATGGAGAAGTGGAAGAAGTGAATAGCTACAATGGAAAGGGTTAGTTCACTTTTGAGTATTGTAACTCTGATTGTCCCTCTGTCAGTGAGTTCAATCTCCTAGCAACTTCAAGTTGATTTAACTGTCTTTTCAAACTGAGTGGTAGGACTCGTTTGTAACTTGAAGGCTCAATTATTCTCCTTTGGGTTTTCACTTTGACAGCCAAGGCAGTGCTTTCAATAAGACCCAGCAACAGTAGGAGCTCCAGCGGGTATTCTGTAGTGAATTGCCAGATATACTCTGGGAGCTTTCATGCAAACTTATGATGTGAGACCTAAAACACCTTGAGATCTTTTAGAGTTCTTTCAGTCTACTTTTGCCTTTATAAATAAGATTTGATAAATGTTTGATATTTAATCTTATCATATATTTCAGCATAAATTTCCAGCCAAAAAAAAAAGAAAGATTTTGAGTTTCCAACAACAAACTTATTTTCCTTTTGTTTCAGGCAAAAGTTGTCTACAAGCAAAACATCCATTGCTAGTTAAAACAAGCAAGGGCTTCCGTTCCACTGGAAATGTAATTTGTGCGCCTAAGGGAGGGTACCACATAGTCCCTATGTCCTTTTCCCTCTCCCCCCTGACTCTTGGCATGCAGCAGAGACTAATTCTACAGTATCTGACTCCCTTGGGGGAATATCAGGAGGTATGTGCTGTAATAAGGCACTTGAGCATTTAATGATATATGAAGAACAGAGAGAGTCTCTCCACTGAAGTATGTGGGAAGCTTGTGGGAAAAGGGCTCTGAATCAAGGATAAATTGGAAATGTCACACAACTTGAAAATTTGAGTGTGGACCGTTTTAACTAGTCGTGTGCGAGCAAGAATTATTTCTTGGAGGAAGGGACATACGTTGGCCTTGGTCAGAAGATAAAGAACTCGGATCAAGAATTTTTGATCATCTGATGTGCTTTAACTGAACGTGCGCGAGCAGGAAATTCTTTTTGGATGAAGGGACATAAATTGGTCTCGGTCAGACGATAATGCACTCGGATCAAGGATTTTTGATCATGTGAAGCGTGTTAACTAATTGGCGCGAGCAAGAAATATTTGTTGGATGAAGGGACATGCATTGGCCTTGGTCAAAAGTTAATGCACTCAGCTCTGAATGAAGAGGTTCTCTTTGAGCCGTACCAAATTTTATCAGTTGCTATGGCAACTAAAACAGTCGTAGCTGAGCCTGAAGCATTGCTTGGCCATTGATTTATCTTGACACATTTTTCTTTGAACATTTCAATTCAGCTGTTGCCGACAGTGTTTGAGTCTAAAGCCCTGGATCTTGTCATGCACTACATTACATTTAAAGGCCAGGTGGACCTACAACTTGTCTTTGAAGCCCTCAAGGTAGGAAGGAGGCAGTAACGTCATGCTTTGTGTTGTACGTTTAGAATTTCATGCAGTTACGGTTGGTTTTCACCCTCGCCGGTGTACTTACAAAAAGCGTGCAGCGATATGATCCTGTGAAAATCAAACCGATAGAATCAGAAGCAAAATACTGATTCCACTTATGACTCCTTCGCTAATGATATGTGAAAAATAAATTGCTGGAGTTTTCAGCCATCGGTTAGCTCAGCTGTGATTCCGAAGATCGAGTTTTCACTGGATCATAAGCGTTGGAGTTCTTAGCGGAATCAGAAGAAAAGAAATTGTTCGGAATATTCCGACTCCGATTTCGTCAAGCTTTTGGCTCCACTTACGACTCCAACTCTCGATTTTCTCTGGGTGGCTGGCACTCCTACAACTAATGAACAATTCGACTCCAATTCTGTCTTTTGTGTAAACGAACCTTTAGACACTCTACCACATTCATCTCTCTTGAAAAACACTACTTTAACTCTTCAACTCCCAGGTCAAATTTGTAATTCTCCTTACTAAGTAAGTAAGTAAAGCCTTTATTTAAAGAGGGTGGCACTTAATAGCCAAAGGCTAATAAACTTGTGGCCCTCGCAACTATTTACAATCTAAAATACTGTAAGCTAAAATATATATATATACAGTTAAAATATAAAATATGACAGGATTCGATTATAAGATAAAAATAAATTATTAAATTATGAAATGATGCAAAAATTGTTGTTCCTTAAAAATCTTGGCAAACATGTTCTTTTTAAAACATGCTACAGAATTTAGTTTCCTAATTTCAATTGGTGTACTGTTCCACAGTCTTGTTGCCGAAACAGCGAAAGAGCGTCATCCTTCTGTTTCTCTTTTATATTTAGGACAAACAGCATTAGTGCTTGAATATCTAGTGTTGCGGGAGTGCCGCTTATTATTTAAAATTAAGTGTTCATTTAGATAATTCGGCAAAGTCCCATTAATTCGCTTATACATTATTGTGCATTTATCAATCTTATGTTGCTCATAAAACGGGATCCAACCTAGCTTGTTAAACAAAGCAACTGATGGTGTCATGCGATCGGCATAACAAATAACGCGTGCCGCACGTTTTTGCAATCTTAAGACCCTATGAACCGACTCTTTATCGCAATTTGCCCAAACAACGTTAGCGTAAGACATAACAGGGCGAATAATGCTATTATAAAACTGAAGTCGCTGTTTAAGAGGTAGACACGCTCGGATCTTACGCAATATTGCGATTCTAGAGGCCAACTTTTTTACATACTTTCTCAACATGTTCATTAAATGACAATTTGCTGTCAATTTCTACGCCTAATAAGGTAGCACAATCCACATTACTGAGCTGTTTTCCATTTACGATTACATCTATGTCACTTCTATTTATGTTGGCCACGCGTCTTTTGCCAGTGATCGTAAGTACTTTAGTCTTGTCTTCATTTAATGGGAGCTTATTCGCTGAAGCCCATAATTGAATTTCAGAGACAGACTTGTTTAGTGATGAATTTAAGGTGGCTAAGTCCTTCACATCCGCAGAAGCGGTGACAGTCGTATCGTCTGCGTAGAGGTCCAACTGAGCACTTGTATACAAGGGCAGATCGTTGATAAACAAAATGAAGAATAAAGGACCCAAAATACTGCCCTGGGGGACTCCATGCAACATCAAAGCTTCGCTTGACTCACTCCCATTTACACGGACCACTTGCTTCCTTTCCGACAAATAAGAGTGACACCAGGCAAGCTCCCGGTTTACTATGCCGTACAGTTCCAACTTGCGCAACAACAGCTTATGGTCCACCATGTCGAAAGCCTTACGATAATCGACCAGGACCATGCTGCAAACCTGATTATTATCTAGGCTGAACAAAAGCTCGTCAATTAACTTGATTAGGGCAGTCTCGGTACTGTGCATCCTACGAAACCCAGACTGTCTGGAATATAACAAGTTATTATCCATAAGGAAAGCATATAGAGAGTTGTGCATGTGACGTTCGATTACTTTTGACACTACCGGTAGCAACAACAACAACAACAGCATTTATTTAAACACGATAAAAAATTCAGCAAAAGCTGATGTGGTCGTGTACGGACAATAAAACTAAATTCCTAACTAAATCCAATAAAACTAAATTCCTAACTAATTATAAGAAGACTAATGTAAGATTTCTACATAATTTTCAACAATAAAAATTCTACATAGTACATCATTATAACATACGTGGCTTAAAAATACACTTGAGTGACTTTTTAAAAGCGTCAACGTCTTGAATTGATCTCATTTGATTTTCCAGAGCGTTCCACCGAGTAATTGACTTGTATGAGCATGATTTCTTGACCATATCGGTCTTAGGTCTAGGTAACTTAAATGTCATTTTCCTCCTGAAGTCGTAGCTACTTACATACTTTTCAAAGTGACGGCTCATAGGACGTGGCAAAAGATTATAATAAGCCTGATGCGCTAAGATTAGTAATCGTTTCTCATACATAATCTCTAAGGTATTCCATTTTACTGTGGCAAGAACCTCCTTGCTTGGAGTACACCAATCCAAGTTAAATATTATTTTCGCCGCTCTAACATGTATAGATTCTAAGCTTGAGAAAATACTCGACCACAAGAGCCCCAAACTAACATACCATATGTCACAGACGGCAGAATAACCTTAAAATAGAAATCAATTCTTGCCTGTATAGGAAGAAAATACAAGGATTTAAGTAAATTCAACTTCTGCGTATATGACTTAGCTAATTCCGATACATGATGATCCCATTTAAGAGCATTATCTATCTGAACACCTAGGCATCTTGCAGAAACAACCTCCCCGACAACATAATCACCTATCTTAATAGCTTGTTTTGGCCCAGTAAATTTTCCGCGTCCACCAAGCAATATATATTCCGTCTTGGTGGGATGTGGAGTGAGACAGTTCTCGCAACACCAGGTATATAGCCTTGCTAGTACTTCATTCAACTTGGAGGCCACCAAATCGTAGGTCGGAGCTGAGACATAGACGGTGGTATCGTCTGCGTACATGTGAAGCTGTGGGTCACCATCTATTCCCTCAGTGATATTGGGCAGATCATTACAGAAGATGGAAAACAGGGTAGGGCCCAGCACCGACCCTTGAGGTACACCAAAAGTAACTGGCATAGCTTGAGATTGACACCCATTAATCGTCGTTACTTGCGTTCTTCCAGAGAGGTAATCTCTTATCCAACACCACAAGTCCCCAGCTACACCAAGACTTTGAAGTTTTCGGAGCAGAATGGAGTGGGGAATTGCGTCAAACGCCTTACGAAAGTCTACAAAACCACGCCTACAACATGTTTCTTGTCGATCGCTTGTCTCCAGTCATCCGTTATTTTCACTAACAACAGCTCGGTGGAATGACCTTTTTATACGCCCACTGGTGAGGGTTCCCAAGTCCTTGTTCAGTGACATGCGTGGTAATAGTTGACGCCACCATAGACTCCATCAGTTTTCCTGGTACACTTAATAGCGAGATAGGCCTGTAATTTTGCTTAACGGTTTATCGTCACTTTTATAGAGAGCTGAGATGTTTGCAGCCTTCCAAGTAGCCGGTACACTGTTGCAGGTGGCGCTTATTTGAAAAACAGACAATAAAGATGGAATAATTGAGTCACCGGCAAACTTTAAAAGTTTTGGAGCAACTCTGTCGGGCCCAGAGGCTTTATCGGCCCTCAACTTAGCCATCGAACTAACAATAACCTCCTGCGATAAATTTATGTTCATAACACAAGGCGCGACGGTAGATACATGAACGTTACTTTGTGTCGAGTTGGTATTCGGCAATTCGTTGGCCAGTTTTTCGCCTATAGTTGAGAAATGTTCATTAAGTATGTTCGCTTTGTCCAGATCGGAGGTGACAACTTTTCCATCCGCATTCCTGATCCCTAATATCGGGGTAATCGATTTGCCGTTTGTCGCATTTTTTACCAGTCTCCAGTAGGATTTACAATCCTTCACTTCATTGAACAGTTCCAAATAGTATCTGCTCTTAGAAAGCCTCACTTCCCGTGTCACTCTATTCCGCAACTCCGAATACTCAGCCCACAGGTCTGGATCACCCAGACGTTGTGCCATTTTAAGCATTTTGAAACGTTTATTCATCAAGTGCCGTATTTGCGGTGTTATCCAAGGTACCGAGACGCTCCTAATTTTAACTTCCCTGTAAGGCGCATGCACCTGACAGATATCTTTGAATATGCGTGACCACGCCCAATAGCAGTCGTCTGGATCGTTAAACACTGAACATACTGACCACGGGGCACTCTCGATATCCTTCACAAAAGTAGCTTGATCAAATCTTTTGAAGGTGCGGGCCCTGACTATCTTTGGAGGCGGCCTTTTATTTTGGACCATATTGTAGCAAGAACCAGCTTATGATCTGAGATTCCCAACTCAGTTGTTTTAATAGTTCCTTTGATAATCTCCGGCTTGCTGGTAATAACCAAGTCAATCAGTGTTTTTGTCTCACTTGTAACTCTTGTTGGCTGGCTCCTATCGTTCATTACGCTATAGCTGAATTGCTGGAGTATATCTTGTAATCTTCTACCGGCGTATGATGTAACACCCTTGTAGCTACGAAAATAGTCCGAGTTAAAATCACCGACAAGCACCACATTCCTGTGCCTAAGCCACATTTTCTCCAGACAATCACAAAATCGTTCGTAGAACTGGAAGTCAGAAGGAGGTCGATAACAATTTCCTAATATCAACGCAGACGAATTATGCATAATTTTGATCCAGATTAATTCAACATCAGGGGGCTCTAGGGATTTGAGCCTTGAATAACAAATATGGCTCGCAATGTAAATCAAGCAGCCACCTCCATCCTGTCCCGTATTTCTGTCCCTTCTAACAATCTTATAGTTATCCACATGTAGTTGCTTGTTCGATATTCTCGCGTCTAAAAATGTTTCGGTAATTGCTAAAATGTCGAAACGACACACTTTAAGTAATAGTTTGATTTCATCGATCTTGTTCCTCAAGCTTCGAACATTCAATTGTGCTATACTGAAATTATTTGAACCACGTTTGATTTCACTCGCAAAGTTGAGTAAATAATCTTCACCTTCCGTAGATATGCCTCGCCATCCCGGATTTAACTCTACATCACCAGAAAGTAAAAGTATCTGTGTAGTAGCCACAGAGTTTGCATAGTACAAAACTCTGCATGAACTCCAGGAACCCTTGCGTTTACAAAAACCGCCAGAAGTCGCGGGCTTGAAGTTGTTGTCGCCGGCAGGAGTCCGAAGACAAATAACGCCCTCAATTGCAGTACTTAGTGTTTCTGGTACAATCAAGGTAGTGTACTGATGAAGAGGATACTTAGCTGCATTATGGATGACATTTAGATGTGTTAAAACCAAGCCTAAAAGTAGAAAACCTCTTTGAACCTTGGAGCTACAGCAAAACGTGACCGCCATTATGCGTGCATTATGCATATTTTCATATTATGCATATTTTCTGTAGCACAGAAATTGGGCGATAATTAGAAGGATCACTGGCTGCACCTTGTTTGAACAGTGGTGTCACATTAGCGGTTTTCCAACGAGTAGGAAACTTTCCTGTGGAAAACGACATGTTGATAAGCCTTGCTATGCTTGGAGCTAAAATGGGAGCG